AACAATTATTCGTCAATTCCAAGCAAGTTGGGGTCAATTGTATGAATCATTACTGAACATGTTCCCCGATTAAATTCATCTCAGACCAACATTATTCAAAATACAAATAAGAATAAAAAGTACTAGAAGTTCTCATCTTTTAGACACAAAAGTCTCTAATAAGGCTAAAAGACTCCTAGAAAGCATAGGAGATAAACCTATTACTTTACCATGTGACTTTAGGTCTACCTCGCCCTTTTCAACACCTTCTTTCACCATTTTCACACCTATGGACTGGTGCATGTTGGGGTCGATGCAGGACATGACTAAACCTTCTCAAGCGTCCTCTCATTTAATCCTGAATGTGTACTGCTTGAACCTTCTGGCAAATGTGGTCTTTGTTTATCTTGTCTTATTTTTTGTATGAGTACTGCCACTTTAGCATCTGCATGTCTGTGGCACTTATCTTGTGGATGTGTTGGAGATAGAAAATGGAAAATAGCTGATTTTCTTTTGATTGTGAGTCGCAAATACCATTGTTTATCTTGTCTTATCTTCCTCTTTCCCATTCTTTCATCGTTTATTCCAATACTATATTAAACAAAAAGGTGGTAGTATTTAAAAATCCCATCTAATCTGTTTAACGTCGATTTCTTGATATGTATTCAGTTAGTTCAGTAACTGTCCCAACCTTCCAAATTCCTGTTATAAGTTGATTTCTTCAAGTATCTATTTTTGAATCATGGCTGGAAGCCATACCTAAGTATTTGTTGAACTCCTGTTCCAAGCTTGCAAATTCTTTACTTGTAACTTTGCTGGAGATTTTTACAGGAGATGTATTCTATGATGCCCATGACAATTTTCAATGGACAACTGATGTGGCTGACAGTGATGCTTCTACTTGCAATTCAAGTGATGAGGATGAATCTCCTTGCTGTTCAGTTAGAAGTTTCAGTACATACCCTGCAGCAGAAATTAGCGAAAATTCTCTGCAAACGCCATCTCCACCTGATGGACCTCATAAGAGAAGAAAACTTTTGAAGTCTCTCAGTAAACGATTAAATGTTGATTTGCTCTCCGAGGAGCCCTTTTCTGAAACTATTGAATCACAGCTACATGGCGAGACCTCTGACAAAAGTACTTCTGAAGTTGTTGAAGCCACCCAGTACAAGGATGTTTTGCTTTTGTTTCGGTTTAATGATCGTGATCTCCCTTTCAAACTTAGAGACATTATTCTTTTGGATTTACGGTTGCTTACTCTACTGGAAGCTGGGCTTCCTTCGTGGGTCATATTTCTCCAGTCTTATCCAGTATTTTGCCATATTTACCGTCCATGGATGTGTCCTCTAGCAAGATTTTTATATGTCGTAATCTCTATAGTTACTGTTCTGATTGGATTCTATGATCTATACAAGAATGTACCCGTACTCAAAGCGACAGCATCTAGTTTGTTTGGGCCCCTTTTTGATTGGATTGAAACATGGGAAATGGTATCAAGAATTCAGTACTTGGGGACCATGCTATTTCTGCACAATTTTCAGAAGGCCTTTAAGTGGTTCCTCATGACAACGCGAACTATTCGGTCATTTTTCTCCATTCTCGCGCAGCCAATGGCTGGTCCACTTGTTGTATTCGTGGAATTCTTCCTTCCTTTCTGGAATGTGTGTACCCAAATTATGGAGGATTTCTTTTCCGTAATATGGTTTACAGTCTGGTCTTCTTACTCTCTGGTGGGAAAAATTATTGAGATTTTATTACTACCTCTGTGGTATGTCATATCGTTTGTTTGGATTCTTGGTAAGTACGTTTGCAACTACGGATATAATCCCATTTGTTTTGCTTAAAGTGGTTTATGAATTTAAGATTGTTGCTCCTTTAGAGTTCTTCTCTCATCAAATTTTTGTTCAACTGCAGTGACATCTTTATTTTACCCCATCTTTTGGATTCTGTGGGAGATTATCTACGCTCCAATTCGCCTGGTCTTTGGTTTTTCTAGCCTTCTGGGCTTTTTGTGTACTTCTATATATGAAGTGATTCAGGATTCATGGCTGTTCGTGAGTAGCATAGTTCGAGTTACTTCTCAAGTGGAGTCAACAGTGACCTCCGGTGGGGTTTCAATATGGCGTTCTCTTTGGAATGACCTTTTCTCTCAGGTTTATCGCTTGTTTCCATTTAATCCTAATATGAAAATTCTATTAAGAGGTCTTCTGCTAGTAATTTTCTTCTGGTTATGACTTACAGGTTTTCCGAGCTCTTCGGAGTATTCTCTATGGTTTTGTTGCCTTCTTCACAGCTTGCAATAGACACAGGTTAAGGTATGGTTCTCTATTTTGCACATCTTCTCTTTGAGAATGTCAACTTCTAGTAGTTACTTTTCGTGCTAACTCTCATCGCGTGCTTCCACATATTCTTGTGCAACAATATGGAGGGTATGTTACTTAACCTAGAGAAATATAGCGAGACTTGCATGCAGTGGAGTTAAGTGTTAATCAGCATATTACGTGGTGCATAGCCTCCCTTTACGTATCCAGACTGCTAGTTGCTTTCTATATTATAGGCTCTATGAGAAAGACTTGGTGTAACAGAATAAAGCAAAAACTAAAGGAAATCTTTCTTGTTCCTTGTGCATGTCACGTGATAACAATCTCTGAACTATTGCACCTCTGAAATACTAATAATTTTTTACTGTTGCAACTTAAGTCGAATTATTCCTCAGATGCATCCTCTTGTTTTTTTTTCCTTTTTATGTTGGCTGATTGAGCTGAAATATTACGTTTGCAGTATATATAATCATTCAAGTGAGTTCATACGACGATTATCTGCTAAAAGGTCTCGGTTAGAATCTAGTCGCAGCGCACAAACATCAGGAGCGCAAATCACAGTAAGTTTATACCATCTTTAGACGTGTTGATCATAATTGCTGGCACATAGCTGTTATGCCGTATCAACTGGTGTAAAATTTCTGTTATCTTGTGGAAAATGTCCTTTCTCATTGATGTAGTGGTTGCTTTTGTTTGCTTCCTTCTGCAAACACACTTGTTCCAGTATTTGTGAATTACACATTTTTCTGTTTTCATGCCAAAAGATTATGCACTTCTGCAGTGGGTAGATACAGAAGAAGCACAGCACCAGCGAAAGTTCAGAAAGATTGAATGATGAGGAGAAACTCCACTCCTTTTAACATGTATAGCAAAATTAACTCCACTGTTGACCAGGAAGTTTTCCAGGTGCGGCATGTAGGATATGGTAAAAGGGAAATACATCATAGGAAATTAATTTGTTGGTTTCTCCTTTGCTCCTGCCCTTGTGGTTTTTGTTGTAATTTTCTTTTCAATCCGCCGCCGAGATTGTAGCATATCGGAATATCTGTAAATAGTGAACGTGAGGATGCTTTTTGCTATACAAAGTACAGAGTTAGTTTCCAATGCTTGCTTCCTAATTCCACAATTCCTCTTAATTAGAGTTTTAGCTTGCATTTTACATTATGTTTCTGACGATAAGTACTCCCATTTCGTTTAATCATGTACTTCTGCTGATGAGTAGTACTATTTTGTTGTGAGAAGTGATGTGGGGCGAACACTATTTGTCATATCGTTGACTGGATCCCCATCTAATGGTCAGCAGAATATCAATCGCAAATTACTCTTGAGTTTGTATTGTAGAAGATATGTCTGATGACGTTATTCAGTCGCTAATTTATCCGTATACAATTTGACAATGCACTAAATATTTGTTTACTCAGCAGATAAATGCGTTAGAGAACTAACAAAAATCCAGTGACTTTATGCCCTCCTATTCCGGGAGGGCAGAGAGACCGTTTACAATAAACCCTTTGGCTAAGGATTTTACTTTTCGAAAGAGAAAAAAAAGACTCTAAACAGGTGCAGTTTTAGGCGGTTTAATAGTTAGAAAACTATAAATAAAACATAAGTCATTTTGAAGTTAATTTCAAAAAGGAAGGAATTCTTTATAGATTAACAAAAGAGAGAGACACAAATGTATAAGACAGTAGTCAACTACTGGCCCCAGGGTTCTAGGCCAGGATGTTAATTTAGTGGTAAAATAGCAGCGTATGATAAGATGCACGTTACAAGTTAGAATCTTGTCACATAATTTCTCTAGTATCAAACAAAGAAATGACAGCAGCTACCTACAGCTAGGATTTTTGATGGAATTAAATATGAAAGATTGTTAATCCTATAATGAAGACGACTGAATTGGCGGAGAGGATGCGGGAAAAGCTAACTTTTTATGAGTTTTGACTTGTTCACTTTTATTCGGTGCTTCACCAACTAACAATCAAACTAATATACACATGTATGTGCAGATAGTACAGTTCTGATTTATTTTGGACTGCAATTTATAAACCCAGCTCCAGAGATTAATTGAGTATAATAATTAGCTTAGACATTCCATTTCACTTCTGTAAGAAAGCTAGCGGAAACAAAATGAAATGAGATTCTTTCTAGTGTCAAAAGGTTAATAAATGATAAAAAAAAGTAGGAAACTAAGGTTAGAGGTTTTAGATGACACTTGTGGGTTTCTTTTCTTTCCAAGCAGTACAATGATATGTTCCTGCTCCTATTGATAAATAGAAAAAACAATAACAAAATGTTGAACTCCTTTCCCTCATCATCTACTTACTTTCATCTACCTGGTCACCTTCTACTCAATCTAAACACACCAAAGAACTAGTCATTGAAGTGTTTGGAGCAATGCATTAAAGAATGCAAACCTTTACCGCAGCCATTCAGACTATGGACTCTCAACTGGCTATGTACAACTCAGTCGAATTAGCGTATTACGCATATTATGCAGACCTTGATTGCAAGATGACCCCAAATAGGATGGATGATTTCATCACATCAGCTAATCTTGTTCCTCGTACGGTCATCCGGCTGATCAAGGCTGTTATATCTAGCAAATATCATAGATGGGGAATCCGATAAAAGAAGGTAATCCGCACTTTAATCAAACAAAGCATGAGATGCATAGTAATCTTACCTTCCTGGGGCCGAGGCTGTTGAGGAGAGGGCTTATATATATATAGATAGAACAAGAAGTACTTTAATTTCACGGCAAGAAGCAACTAATGATCTTCTTGCAACAGTGAGTAATGATTATGTTTATAAAAGCTGGTCCGACATAAGCAAAAATCACGAAGCTCATCTATGAGCCTACAGGTCCTAAAGTAGCATAAGCTACATTCATTAAAGTCTACCACCTAGAAACACAGTCTGTACATAAGCAAAAGAGATCACTCAAACAGTTGAGCCTCCAGTTTGATGCAGCATTGCGTCAATTTCATCACCATCCTCCATCTCCAGCTAAAGCAAGGAAGAAAATTTGTTAAAAAACAAGAAAGTTAATTGTACGAGAACAAAACACAAGAGCAAACAAACATGAGATTTTCATGTCCTATTTGCTCCTTCCTTTGACTTATTAGTGTGCGAACATGATCCGAGAGAGTATGACAGAGGGAGAGAGATACCTCATCTGGAGTCTGCTCTGCTCGGAGACGACGACCATCAAACAAGAATGCAATTGAGTTGAAATCCACCGACTGCCGGTCGCAATATGCATTCATCAGCTTCTTTAGCTGGGTGCTTCTTTTGATCCTAAAGAAGACTTCATTCCCATCCTGCAACCAATAAAAGAACCAAATCTGTAATTCTCTCATATCCTATTTGTTATAGCAGTTAAGAGGCCACTTCTATTTCATGGGCAGCACATCACCATAATGATGGGAAGGAAATAGAATATCCACTATTGATTGTTTAATCAGCTGCGCATTGGGATCAACCACAATTGATATCATGTTTCTCTATCCAAGAAGCAAATTAAGCATATCAAAATCAATCACTCGGGATATCACATTTCTCAATAATATTTTATCAGCAAGCAAACAAAGCACAAACTGAAGCCAAAGGAGAAAGTAGGTTTCCAATCCGGGTTATTGACACAGATGACACCATGTAGCATATACAGCACAAACAATCATCTCCCACTCCCAGGTGGACCTACTTGCTATGACATCATACAGAGAATTTAACATGGTAACACAGATACAACTAAGGGAAGATGTCTAGCCACCAATTGATGCTGGAAATTTATGCAAGTACAACCAAAGTTTACAACTGATGATTATGGCATCACGCTGTGGTGATCCTTCGCAAACACCATCTATTAAGCTTAGACCTGGTATCATGGTTTAATACAGAAGAAACGGGTATGCAGTCAAAACTTAACAACCCAATATCACAAGTACAGAAAGCAAAGTGATGCCTTCACCATCTATGAAACAACTACAACTTAAAAAAATAGTTGTTCCTTATTTTTCTTGATAAAATATATTTATGTTGACGCAGAGGAAGGCTGTTTCAACCTCAAAACACCAATAGGTAAAGTATTGAATATATAGTGTTTTCAAAATAAGCCTCAGTAACAACTCTTTGCAGATGCACGCTTTTACGTCCAGACTAATCATAACATCCACTCGTACTAATAACAAAATTCGGAGACCTCCTCGGTCGAGCTACTAGCTTTCTTAGATTTCATTCCTGTTGACTAATCCGAGTCCTTGAGAGCTTAAACGTCAGTGGGGAAGAACTCCGAAAGAATTTGATCGGCTCCTCCTCTCTTACCCTCTTGATGGTATCCAGTAGAAACGGTTCATTCAGTAGCACAAACTTTCTACTGGATTCAAGTTAATTTGGTTCTAATAAAATGACTTAGAGCCCGTTTGGGTTGACATAAAACAAGTAGCTTTTCACCATAAATAGTTTTTAACCAAAAAGCAATAAGTTGAGGTTATTGCTTTTGGCTTATATTAAGCACTTTATAACTTTGACAAACAGTGAAAAAGGCTAAAAAGAGCTTAAAAGCTGATTTGGCCAGCTTAAAAGCCAATCGAAACATCCTCTTAGTTCAAGTTCTCTAACAATCCAAAAATAAAATAAAAAATACACAGAAAAACCAGCTGAACATATGATCATATAAAAAAGCAGTTATATAGAATACCGAATAAATCAAGCAGTCATATAAACAACAAGGCAATGGGACATGATTATTCTCAAAATAAACACTAAATTTTACTTATAACATAAAATAAAAAAAAGTACAAACCAAACCCTAATCGAAAGAAAGCACAGACCTGGCCTTTGACTTTGAGATTGATATGTGCAGCTTGATCTCCACTTGGCTTCTTATCTTCCTCTGTTTGCGACATTTTTCTCCCTCTTGTACTCTATACCAAAAGAAGATTATAGGACTATCAATTTGATTGTTCTTTAGCTATTTATAGTTGGTGCCTGCTGTGCCCTTGGCGTAAAAACCACGCAATTTTTCCTTTTTTCTTCATTTTTGACCTATCAGATTCCTTTTGTTACTATTTGTTTAATTGCACTGCTATATATACGCAGCATCATTAGATTAGTGATAATATATTTTTAATCATTATCAATTAATAATATTACCGCTTCTTTAAATCACTTCACTATAAAAAATTAATATGGTATTGATGTGTCAATGCCGATAAAATACTTTTTTAACCTACTAGATATGCCTTAGTTATTGTACAACATTATTTATGCGATTAATATGTGTTAGATAGATTGTTGTGAAATAAATACAGTATGATGCAAGATCTGTTATGTGGTGAACTATTATGGTATATAGTAATAATACCTAGAATATTATGTAGAGATTACTTCTTAAAAAGAACTCTTCACAATATACTTTATTCACATATTGTCAAATACACACAGCCTTATATTTTACATTATAATATGTATATTATCGCATAAGTTAATGTGAATACTATTTAATCAAACGTGAATTAGTTAAATTAGCATTTTTTTTCATATGACCAACTAAAAATTGGATAAGTTATGCAATTTTTATTTTCTCCCTCTAGATTTTTTTTTTGGAGGCAGTTGAGAATATCTTTAACACATTTTAGAAGGCCGAGAATTTTTTTTGGTTGAACTTTCACCCCATAAGTCATTTCCCTATTTCGTCACATAAATAGGACCGGTCCTCCAAGTCATGTTAGAACTCTCTTAATAGATTGACAATATCTCACTTTATACTTATTAATTTTAAATTATTTACTCTTTAATGCCTAGATCCAAATTATTTACTTCTCTTACTCATGCGATCCAAACTATTTACCCGACCCATGCATTAGCTTATTCCCCTTATTTAATGCCTCAGTTAACGCTATTTCACCCAACGATTTCTTTCATTTCAAAAATCACATAGCCAAATCATGAAAAATCATATTTCACACATCAGTTACTGATTTGACTTGTGAATTTTTCTTCAGATTTTGTTTCTATCTTCAATATTATTGTACATGAGTTACACTCCAAAATCCTCTTTCTATATTAGTATTTTTTTTGTATTTATTTGTATTTCTGAACTCATGTGTTGTTGCAGTTATATATTAAGTTTTCCAGCTCTGATTTTTGTGTGTATATGAAGATCCACCATTGATTCGATATGGGTGCTATAAAATATTAATTATAGTACCTTCAAGTAAGCTTCCCGGATCTGAATTTTTATGTGTATTTGAATATTCATCATTGTTGGGCTTGAAGCTCTTGAATTTAAAAATTTTATTTTGAAGATTTCTTGATTGATTCAAAGTGGGTGCTGTTAAATATTTTTTATAGTACCTTCTGGAAGTCATACTGAAATTTGATATTTGGAGCTGATTTGAGGTTATTGAGATCGAAATTTTCAGTTGAAAATCAAAGAACACAACTACCCAATACTATACCGCTATGGTATACAATATGTTGTAGGAGTATATAGCTATGCAACAATATACTATTATAGTTTACGATATACTGCAACGATATATTATAATAATCGAAAAAGAACAGTTACCTAACAGTATACCGCTACAGTATATAATATACTATAGGAGTATATAGTTCAGTATACTATTATAGTATACAATATATTGTTGTAGTATACTGTAATAATATGCAATATACTGTAACAATATGTTGTAATAGTATACAATATACCATAATAGTATATAATATACCATAATAGTATACTTATTACTCGTAAATTCACTTGCCTTTTCCCTTTTAATTTGTTTTATATTTTTTTTACCCAGCATGAGGGGCAAATTGAAAATAAAAATCTTTTTTTCCTTTTGATTTATTCTATGACTTGAATTCCAAGACTTCTAACTTCTGCAAAATATTAATCTGCCATTGGAGGAGCTTGACTTTGAAACTCATAAATTGGGTTTGTTGAGTTTGTGATTATTTTGAATTTCAAAACAAGAATTTTTTTTAACTCTTTGTGTACGATTGCATACCATGTTGGTATAACTATATACTATACTGGTATCATATGTTAGTTAATATTTTTTGGTTGTATTAGCTATATCTAATTGGTACATAGAAAAAAAAGAAGCATAGAAAAAAAAGAATTGGAGAATAAAGAAAAAAAATTCCACAAAAACTACTATGGATAGGAAATGCAATTAGTTTGGTCGGTAGAGAAACAAATGGGCAGACAAGGGTAAATAGTTTTATTTTTGTGGGTAACTGTGTCATTCTCCCATAGATTAATACATGTATAAAGTCAGAAGGCTAGAGTCAAATGGTTAAAAGAGGGAGGTGCCAATACAACTTTCTTTCATGGTATCATTAAAAACAAGAGAAAGAGACTAATGATTCAGAAGATCAAAAATATAGAGGATAATTGGGTGGAAGGTACAAAAGATGTTACTGATGCTGCCCTCAAATATTTTAAGCACTTGTTCACTGCTGAAGAAGTTTAGGAGAACACCAGGGTACTGAATGTTAACAAAATAGTGTCAGATGAAGATAATACTGCATTAACTACTATCCCTACCCTCTAGGAAGTTAAGGATTCTATTCTTTCTATTGATCAAGATAGCTCTCCTGGTCCTGATGGCTTGACTGGTAGGTTCTACCAAATATGCTGGAGCATTATTGCAAAAGACCTCCATAAAGAAGTAGTATCGTTTTTCCAGGAAGCCACTCTTCCTAATTTTTTTTGGATACTTGTATAGTAATGATCGCTAAAGTTGAAGCACCACAGAGTTTTTCTGACATTAGACCTATCAATTTATGTAATGTCTCAACCAAAATTATTGTCAAGGTGATTAATTCCAGGATAAGTAGAAATCTTACTAGAATTATCACTCAAAATCAAAGTGTTTTTGTTAAAGGCAGAGCCATTACTGAAAACATACTGCTGGCACAAGAAATCATCGATGACATTGGAAAGCCAAGGAAAGGAGCCAATGTGGTTATTAAACTAGACATGGCCAAGGCTTATGACAGAGTTTCATGGCCTTTTTGTATTTTATACTTAGGCAACTTGGATTCACAGAAGAATGGATTGATCTTATATACAGATTTATCTCTAATAACTGGTACTCTCGTCTTGTTAATGGTAGCAAGCAGTTTTTTTTTAAATCTGGAAGAGTTCTCAGCTAGGGAGATCCTCTGCCCCCTCTCTTTTTATTTTAACTGCTGAACTTCTCTGTCAAATGCTTAACAATCTTTATTCTAACAGTAGATCTAGAGGATTTTATATGAATGGATGGGGGCCTAATATCAACAACCTATCTTTTGCTGATAACACTATTATTTCTTGCAGCAGTATGAATTACTCTCTTCAACTTACTCTGAAGACCTTAGCTCAATAAGAAAAAGTCTCTGTTCAGTTGAGAAATAAAAGCAAATGTTGCTTCACTATGTCCCCTGGCACAATCCAAACAACCACTACAAGGGTTTGCAGAATCTTGGGAAGAGATGTGATCATTTTCCTATGAAGTATCTAGGGTGTCCCCTTCATACAAGAAGGAAGAAATTATCCTTTTATTCTGATATGGTGAACAAGGTGATCAATAGAATCAGAGGGTAGCATTTGAAATTCTTATCTTTTGGAGGAAGAGCTACTCTTACTAGATATGTCCTTCTTGCTCTTAACATTCACACATTGGCTGCTGTCAATCCTTCCAAAGGTACTATATCCATGATTGAGGAATATATTAATAGATTCTTCTGGTCTGGAGCAGAGGAGGG